TACAATTTTTAGTATGTCGACTTGTCAAGATAATCTATCTCGCCATGTCGACATGATATGTATATTATGTCGACTTGACAACATAATTATCTTGACAAGTCGTCAAGTCGAATGGCACTTAGGTGCTTCCGTACTACATAGGCCTAGGACGTTCTCATGTTTAAAAAACACAGCAACCAACTTTATTGAAGTTGCACTTCAGCAACCTCTATTCTCTATTATTACACTTGGCATTATTACTTTGGATATTAACCAACGCCATACTTTTGTATTAGCCGCCAGTCATGAGCATTGTAAATTCCAGTTTATTTTGGTTACTAAAAAATCTGTAAAAGTCTGTAATTAATAAATTTATTTAATAAATCAATAGTATACAGAAGGAATTATTTTTTTTATCATTCTTTTTAATGATTTATTCGGTATAAATGCTTAGAAACAAGAAAAATACTGATAAACTGAAGTTTACGAAAAAAATAAAAATACAAATTTATAAAAAAAATAATAAATAAAAAGCTACGTAGGCCTCTATTAGGATAAAATCATGGAGTAGAAAAAAGTGGGGGGGGGGGAGAGTGGGAAATCAGAAGATTACAAACACTTATCTGCACGAAATCAGAATTGTATTCTGATGGTTGTGGTTATGAACTTCAAATGGAAAGATATTTCAGTGCTACACCTTAGCTATACATATTTCTTTGTAGGCCTATCTATAAAGGTCGAACTTAGTTTATGTTGTTAAAACTTAATGAAAAACTCGGGATATTAAAGTCGGCTCCGGAGGAAAATTAATTTTGAAATGTACAAATGATTTTTCAAAGACACAAAAACTTCGACGAAAAACACGGAAGCGGTTAGTGAGATACAGATTTAAAAACTAGGGGGAGGGGGGAAAGTGAAAAAAGGGTGGTTCCCCTTTTTTTTTATATATATTCAAAAATCTGTATCTCATTAACCGCTTCCGAGTTTTTCGTCAAATATGTTTGTTGTGTCTTAGAGAAATCGGTTGTACATTGTGATGTTCGTTCTTGTAGATAATCTCTAGATCTAAAACCGAGTCAACAAACTCCTCCAATTACAGCGAAAAATAAAGTTCGGTTGTGGGAGAGTGGATGTTACCACTCTGGGGACAGCGGCGAAATTGGGCCTAAGCATTAATTATAAGTTCAACAATGATGCGCATGATTATCGCTGATAAAAAAAATATCAAGTAATCATTTTAAATGAACTGCAAAGCGACTGTATCACTATATGACATCATTTAGAACTTACATTATTTATCTATATTTCAACTTTCAACTTAATTGCGACACTTCAGATATTGAAATATCTATTATTGGACCTATGAAGAGTTGCACGATAGTCTATAAGCTCTATATGAGCATAGCCTCATAGTTTATTTTTTTGTACTTATAAGATCCAGTTTTAACAAATTCTTACCAGGAGATACACGTATGCAACGGCCTTTCTCGTCTCGCACTGGCTGCGCAGTTTCATAGTCATATTTTATTAGCTCGATTGGACAAAATGTCTGAAAAGAAAAACGATTTATATATTATTTTGTTTAGCATGCTTATGAAACGTCCGTCGTTCACGTAAACTAGGGTGGGGTGTAGTTATTTATATAACTCTATTATATAAATAGACCTATAGCATTTTGTGATAGACCTAACCAATATAATTTCTAATAAATTATCAAAACTCGTAAAAATGGTTCGGAATGTTATTATAAGCACATTGGTTTGTCGATTAGGCCTATGCTAAACTGCCACATGGGACTTTTTACATTTATACAACCTATTATTCCTCAGTTAGATCGACAAATTTGGCCCCATAGTCACCCCAATGGGGAACTTAATATAAATATAAGTTGTGTTCACAGTTCATAAATCATTTTTACCAATTCAAATTTAACCGAACAATTTTAGAATTGATTAAACAATTTTTTGAAATTTTCCCTTCCCATCCCAACCATGCACCATCAAGGTTGTTAACAATGTAGGCCTACTGTCTGTCAATCGAATGTGCGTAACTTTGTTTTTACTTTGTTACCTTCTAAACTTCGTTCACACTTTCTCAGTTTGGACGCTTATTCACACAAGAAATGTTACCTTCATCACCGTCAATTAATTCAGTGTACAGTACAGAAAAAAAAGCTTTGAATAAAAAGCGTACTGCGCAAACGCACTCAAATTTGGCTGATGCGCAAACGCACTCAAATTTGGCTGATGCGCCATGAAGTACGCAGCTAATTTCGCAATAGCATTCACTACTGCTTGTGTTTGTGTCAAATCTCTTGCGTTTGCAATTGATGTGCGTTTTAGAGTGAAACCAGTCCCATTTACATGTTAATTCTCACCCTCAATAATGGCGGCCAACAGCCAACGGATCCTGGTTTGTTTTCAATATTCATGATTCCAAAATTGCTCTCCGTAGCTCCGTACGTCTCGACAATCTGATCGATACCGTATCGTTCCTTTGCTTCTTGCCAAATATCTGCTCCCAATCCGTTCCCTAGAGCTAAACGGACTTTGTTTTGCGAATCATTGGGTTCCTGAAGAACAAAAAGTGTAAAGAAGAATTTAAACAGATGTTTATTACCTAGTTGAGCTGTGGTTTCGTGGTTAAAATTATTCTTCCCATTCCCAGTTTCCTGATTCAGCTAACAGGTTCATGAGCATAAAATAATACTTCCGTTTTGTTATACTAAAAGTTTGGTTTTCTCCATGCCATTTTTCATCTTGCAACTCGCATTTTCCAACTCGCAACTCGCATTTTCCAACTCGCAGCTCGCATTTTCCATCCCGCAACTTGCATTTTCCAACTCGCAACTCGCATTTTCCAACTCGCAGCTCGCATTACCCAACTCGCAACTCGCATTATTGCAACTCGCAACTCGCGCAAAAGAGACTCTACCTGGTTCAAGGCATGTAGGGCTACAAATCTGAGTGAGTCAATTTTCACGACGTCTGTCAACACTATAGATTCATGTTTTATGTGACATTTGTTTCGTGTTTGTTGCCCATATATGGGAATGATGATGGCATGGTACACCCAAGAAGTAGGACCAAATCACAATGGTAAATTTGTCACTTAACTTGATAGTGTGCATAGGAGAGCTATATAAAGCAGCACAGTTCCATCTTTATTATCGAATAAAAATAGTATAGCTAGTTTTATAAACAATATAAATTAAAGTTCAATGTTTTTATATAAATGCGGATGCTATACTGTATGTCATTCGCGTGGGGCAGTGTAAACATAGTTCTTCCTGTTACATTGGTAATTGTTTTTGCAAGATACAACAGCAGGGAATTTAAATGTGATAATTTTAAACGGCAAGGTCTTGCCCTTTCTAAATTTAGCTTGCATGGGTTTATTATTATACACATTTGTTTCTATATTTAAAAATTCAGCCAATTTGATCGTCTGTGGTCACGAGGGCAACATTACACGTGATTGAGCAATCAACCAATTATTCCATATAGGTCAAACATGAATACGAACATAAACAATTCATTTGGGGAAAATTTAGATCACTAGCGTTAAATCACGAAAATACGCTTCAGTGATTGAATCAACTTGGATGCATTTTTATACGAGCGTTTCAATTCGCTATTATTATTAGGCCTACTGCTACATAATTTTATGAGAGGTATACATCTAAGGCCAAATAAAGGAAAACATGTTTCTATTCTCGTCCATGTTTAGTTTCCTAAATCAATTCAAGTGTAAATGCTGGGTAATTGGTTGCGATATTTTAATCCCTGTATTTTTTTATGCATTTTAAAATTTTAATAATGTACGGCGCTTTTAACTTTTGAAAAGACGCCTTATAAATGACATTTAGGCCTATTATAATTATACCTGGTTACGTAATAACTACATACTTTTACACATTATATTAAATAGCATGGGCACGTGATGACGTCACATTAGCACGTATACCAAGAATGCGTCAATATGTAAATGAAGCCGGTTACGTGCTGCAACTTTTTACCCAATCACAGGATTAGCATAAAAAATTGAATGACGTCATCATTACGTTATTGTGTAGTGACTAACTCATACTTAATATTATTACCTTTGGTCTCGCGAGGAGATACCGGAAAAGCTCACCGACGTAAAGGACTATTGTAACATTATGTCTCCTGCAGTCATCCCAGAACGTGGATGCTGAAAATTTTGATCTCAGGACCATTGTGGCGCCTGCAGTGTTACAATAAAAAAATGTTAATGAAAAATGTGCTCTTTACTTATAAGTTGCATTTGCAATTAGATTCATATGTATTTTTGAATGTATACACTTTTTTTTTATAAGAACATATTTTACAAATACACTGAGGCTGAAATTGCTTAAAAATTAAGAACAAAATAAGAACAAATTGAGGCTGAGGTAAAATGTCAAATGAGATTTTTATTTTTAAAGAACTAGAAAAACCAAAAAATATCTACCTTATGTGTAGGTGCGACTATGCAAAATAGTAGGCCTACAGTAGGTGTACTGTACTTACGTACCTGTCAATTTGGGGCCATTTTTACCAGGGCCGTTTTACTGGGGCCTATTTTTCAGGGGGCATTTTTCCGGGTCCAGTTTTACCTACATTTCAGTACAGTGTGTACAATATTAATTTTTCATGTTTGAAAATTGTGTAAAATAAATAAATATTTTGAGCCTGAAATCGGCCAAAAAATAAGAACAGTGCTCCTGGACAAAATTGTGGTGGTTCTTATAAAAAAATATAAGTGTAGTACCTATAGCTGTATACGTGAAATGTATACCTTTAATAAACTGTTGAACTACATTGAACGCCTGACAGTTATGACTTAACATATAAGATAAACTTCAGGAACATTGTACTATTATACGTTGTAACTCAGTACGTAATTGTCAGAAAATCCCATGGGGTTTAGCTTAAGGTTGAACCAAACCTTTTGATTCAAGTCATAGACCAATGATTGATCTAAAGGGCTTGGTTTTATTTCTGGAAGCAAAACCATGTTCCTTCTCCGCCTTCGTGGGCCGCGTGTGTTTAAACGTCTGTGCACACGGCTCGCCAATCCTCTTTTCAATTTTCCCATGATGCAATGCCATAAGAATTTGAACTTACCTTTGTTTAGTGTGTTACTAAGGCCAAAGAAAATAGCAGAAATGTGGTAGAGAGGTAGGGTTACGTAGATGACATCATTCGTAGAAAAGTTGAAGAAATTTAAAAGGTTGCCACCCGCCAAGAGTTTGTAATGCGACAACTTGGTTGCTTTCGGTAATCCTATAGGAACAAAAACAAAATTTAAATATCATTTTAATTCGTGATTTCTTGTGTAATATTAATGTTATGCCATATTTTATACTATGCTCCATTGCTATAAGCTTGCCATTGCTAATATCGAATTAAGTAGGACATTATTGAGGCCTAGTTAGAGTGATATCACTTTTCATGAGCACATTCATTAGTAATTGTTTTTTAATTAACTGGGTCAACACGTGTCTTCTTGTTTCAAATTTTTAATACTTTATATAGCTTATTATTTATGCTTTCATGCCATAATATAAATATTAAATCTATTATTTTTTATTAAAGATCAAATTATAATGGCTACAAGAGAGTGACAGGACTTCCGTACATTGTGTCGGAAACATTTCTCATGAAGCAACTAACACGAATATTTCTGACTTTTAACGTTTCCTTCCTGAGCGTAAGCAAAATAAAATTATCCGAAATATTTATTTGGAAAGAACTCAACATTTTAAGCATATCGGGATGAAGAGATACGCCTGGAACGTTGTGTTAAGTATCGTTTTTACATAATATACGGTATAATTCTAAGTTCTAAATTTATACGATTTATACTCTTTATTGTATCGTATTGTACATTTATTTTTGTTACCGAAAGTTAGAGTATAGAGCCATTTAAACGAATGTTATTGTACGCATTATCTTACCTGTTGTACCCGACGTATAAATGTACACTATCGGGTCTCGGAAATTCAGACCTTGTCGCACGTCACGTGGTAGGTCGACATCACTGACGTTCTCGAGAAGAGGATCCACCTGCATGATGCTGTCGTTCATTGGTGGCAGAGTGCAGTCGAGAGATCCTTGTAACCAGATGGAGGTTCCGCTCTGGATCAGATCCGGTAGAATCTGCTTAGTTAACTCTTGAAGCTGATCTCCTAAGAGGCCGAAATGACACTCATCAGTACGATTGCAATTGACAATTCAATAGTGTCAAGATTTTGAGGGTTTAAGAAAAAAATAAAGTAATCGGAAAATATATGAACGATTGCATGATAGTGAGAAAGAGGTATAATCCAGTGAAGTGGTATTGCTAACGTCTACAACTTTGAAAGAAGACATAATTCAAGTCCACTTTCTTGCATGTAATCAAGTCCTTCAGTGCATAAGCTCCCCTTTGGATGACACGAAGCCGACTATTTGCAATGTCGAAAGGAGAGTGTGTACAAACTTAGATATTGTCGGCGTGTAAACTTGAAATGTAAACTTGAAATGCCATATATGCAATATAATATGTTTTATGTATCGTTTATTCTTTGCAACTTCACTTTACGGCTCTCACACTTTTTTTTAATTAAGAATAATTGGCTGATTTGAGAGATAGAGCCTATTGCTAGTTACATAGGCCCTTGCATTATGAAGTTAGGGAAAAATATGAATCTCAGGATGTTGATTGTAATTTACACCACAGTCTTGTTCATTATAAAAAGAACAAAAATGTGAATTACATTACTGTACTACATTGGTTGTAAGGATTTGCAATGTGGCGAATGAAGAAATACTTCAGATAGTGACTCTCGACATGAAACAATGTTAATTATGACTGTAGGTGTAAGTGTCCATTAGTAGACCCATGTCATAGTCAACAGCATCGAATATTGTACGTAAAAATAGTCTTAAACGTAGTTGTGTTACTTGGAAAAATATAGACATATAAACCTTTAGGCAAGCCGTTTTTTTTTCTGGTAGAATCTCAAACATCGATAGTTTGTCAACTCAACATGAGTTACGGTACACGGAACTATTAATCTCGCTATTGATAGGAATAGTCCTAAATATTGGAAAATACTTTTCTCGTGAGGGGAAACTTTTCAGATCATATAATAAGCTAGCTTGGCATTAGAATAATTGGAAAGCAAACTTCCTGGAAAAGAGTTGCGCAAACGAATATTATATATAAAATGGAGAAAACGGCTGAAAATTAAACAGAAAGTTTAAAGGTATAATCTTCACGGTTCCGTAAATTGAAAAATCATTACATTACTTTTTTGGCACTATATAGTATGCTAATCCAGTTTAAATCCAGTTGAAAATAGCCGGAAAGTACGGTATTTTTCTAATATAGTGAACAGGGCTTGCGCATAACGAACATACCGCGCAAGTAAAACCGAACATCATTTCCATCGCGTTCTACATTTCACGTAAAAAGTTAATTTCATAAGCACTAGGATCTTGAATGAATTTTCCTCAAATGGCATTACCCTAGACATTAAGTTGTTTTTGTAAATCCAATCAACTCCGATAATTGCAAACAATCAGAACCAAATCAGAATTTACGCATGCCTATATTAATGGGTTCGCCCCATACGTTTATCCGATAAGAAACTATTGAGTAATTAATTTGTTTAACTTCATAAATTTATTTCTTATTGACCTAGGCCTAATTTTGAAACAAATAGTGTGGGGACTATTTTTTGACACGCTGAACATGATTAAACATGACTACAGTTTGTACTTTATTAAATAAGCATGTTATATTATAAAAAGTTTTGATATAATAAACTATTCTCGCATCAGAATGGAGTTGCCAATTGAACATTTGTTTCTGCTTGGAGCATCTGTGGAATTTTCAAAATCCTTGATAATGACCATACCAATCTCAATGTTTATGGTCCGAAGTGTTCATCACCTCCCGTTGGCCAAATAAATTTCGATTAATTGGCTTTCTTCAAGGCCCGGTGACCTTCTTTCAAGGGCGGTCAGAACTTGATTGACCTTGGCAATGGAAAGGCAATTAAACCAAAGCGGCTCATGTACGTATGCTCATCATCATCATCACCGCCACATCCATTGCCCCTGTATTAGTATATGTAGTAAAGCGAATCAAAAATGGTATCTCAGAAGGCGAAATTAAGACTTTGAAAGAGACTTTTAAAATACGGAAAAAATAAAATATGGAATATAACATTTTTTTATATATCAAAAACAAGCATAACAAAAGGTAGACCTCAAACACGGAAAGTTTAATCTCGGTTAGGTTTATCTACGAGAAATACCGTGACGCACAAGAAACGTACTATGGCGATAAGTTTTGGAAATCGCGATATGACGTAAAAGACCGTTATGCTAATTTTTCAGCTACGTAGGGGGCACGTAGAATCGATGTTGGTTTACGACCTAGTGTGCATACCGTACCTACCGGATGCGCACTGCGCACTTGAACGTTTGTGAAACCAAGTCTGTAAGTTGACGTGTGACGTAATTTGGAACATTCCCTATTGTGTTTTTTTTAAATAAAAACAAGTAGGCCTGTCAGTAAACGATATAGGCCTACGACAGAATTACCCAAATTGAAAATTGATATGTGTTTTTATTACCGATACTAATATTTGCGCAACTATTATTAGGCCAGTACCCGTTAACCTAAATGGAATTATGAGACCAAACTTCGTAATGCGATTCAGATTAGCCGTTAAGTTAGATTAAAGATAAGCAAGCACATGGGTGGTATAAATTTCCTAAGTCGTAATCATTCTTAATATCTAATTAGGAGTAAGCTATCGCCAACGCAGTGCGATCGTTAATAGTATAATATGACGCAACATGTATCCGGAGAGGTCTTTCTGAGTTTTTGTATTAATACCCCCAAAATGTATATTATTAAATACTACATGGATTGACTAATCGTTTTGATATCAGCCGGATTTTCCGGTACAGTATTTTATATTTTTACCTCCAACAGAACGTTCTCTCACTGCTTAGTGCCTCCAGAGAATTGAAGGCCCCGGAAAATCATAAAATCGTCTGTCAACAAAGAGTTTAATTGTTTGTAGTCCCAGTCCGAATGAAGATGTCCTCCCTAGTGTCCATCATCCCCGTCTCCTTGAAGAGCTTGTCCTTCAATGACCTAGTCTAACAATTATCTAGAGCTCCGGAACATCCCAACCCCCGCCCAACTCCTGTTGTAGACCAACCACAAACATAACTCAGGATGAATTGAAATTGCTTATTGGCTGGCTTCAAAATGTAACGCGTTTTACACAAACACAAAAAATCACAGGCCCGCGCCTTGATTTTCAATGTGTGAAAAAAATTAGACGTGTAACAAACGCAAACGTATAAAACAGACTTTGGCTGCCGCTGTTTGACGTACGCAAGCCTCAACGCACGTTTCACAGGGGTGAATTAAAGGTTTATAATAATTAAGTGGGACAGCCACGTCTTTCTTGTGATTCTGAAGCGTGAGCCAGGATGTAGCACATAAGTATAAGTACTAACGTGTGTTATATTACTAGAACTAAACTCATTCAGATATATTATATCGATTAAGAAATTCCAAGTGTTTCATCATCATTGATATTAAAATTATGAACTGTCACAATGAAAAGTCATGTTGAAGTTTGCAGAATAAGTATCTGACCACGAATACCGGTTAATTTCAACCGCAACATTACATTTTAAGGTTGCATCCAATAGTTACGTATGGTAACAATTTTATCAGGAAGCTATGAGTAAATTATTATTTAAATCGTTTAATAGATTTCAGAAATTATTGTGAATTGCATTCTGACATCGTTGATTGATTGCTTTGTTTTGTCTCAATTTGTCTTATATTCGCTATCAAAAAAAAAACAAAACCATAGGCCTATATATTGTCTTCGATTTAATGTACTTCAACTGACACACGTATGCCTCTCTGTATGCATACATTGTAATATTGAACACCGTGTCGAATACAGTAATAAAACCTATAGAATAGGAATAACAGTCACAAAACTTGATAAATAAAGAAAGATTGAACAAAGGAACGAAAAGGAAATATTCCCTTTATGACAAAGATTGATTGATTGGTCGATTGAAGATGTGTATAAGAGACAGATATATGGTCTTATTTCGTGTTATTCTTCGAGCTCAATATCATCTGCGATGTCTTTTTGTAATTTCCTTTTGGAAAAAATAAAGAAATCGATGTTGTTTACCCGATTGAACGATTCATTCATTCATTTATTCATTGATCGATCATAGAAGTATTTGCCTTTTGGGATCTGTGTTTATTGAATGTATGCACCTGAAGTCAATTCATGGCAGAGGTAAACAAAAATTAAGTGAGGAGAAAAAAAAATGCAGTGTAGGGAAGATGAGGCATCGGATTCAGATGTTATACGGTGGAATTGATAAACGTTTAGTATAACCGTAGTATCGATGGACCCAAGATATGTTGTTTTACCTTGGCTAAACTATACATATGTGTGGGTTGTTGTAGGAATTTAGAAGTTAAATACCCTACGCTGGGATTGTATACACCGTTTTACCTTCGCCAACTATAAGTGTCTGGGAGGCAGGGGTCCCAAATCGGAAGAATCCTCATCCAGGAGATCTGTTTAAATGAGCTTTCTTAACACATCTACTTATATTCTGCTGTGGGTGGATGGTGATACCCATTGGCACTGACTTCCTGAAGACAATTGATAATACAGTAGTAGAACTTGTAACATGCAAATATCGTCAATTTGCGGGAGATGGTTTATTTTCTGGAAGATTCTTCGGGGGAGTGTAGGAGGCCTTCCCGCCGATTTCCAGGAGACACAATCCCTGGACTCTGCAGCAGATTTGGGAACCATGGGCACTAAATGTGGTCTTTAGATTTCTCTATTTAGAGTGAAATTAAGAAATAATACATTAAATGTTTTACATGTACAGTTATTGCATGCGGTTACTTTTTCTCAGACTGTTTATTATTATTAAACATTTCAAGGTAGGCCGACATGGTCCTGTACTGCCATCTCCATTAAAATAATATTACATTATTCGCCACTAATCGTTATGCAATATACACAAAAAAAACTATATAGGTAAACAAAACATCTTATGATGTGCATTGGCTAATATTTTGACTAGTAAAACAAAATTTATTATAGAAAAAAATTGCATTTAACGTCACAATTTATTTTATTCTGGTCTTTAATTGGAGGGAAAATGTTCATTTGTGGGTGCCAAAACCATGGTCTTTGATCTCTAAATAAAGGGAGTTTTTAATTGGAGGGAACAGCTAGATAAAAAAAAAAACAATTAAAGCATGCTAATATTATGAATTTGCAGGAGACGGGTTATTTTCCGGGACCTTGCTCGCGGGAGTGCTGGAGGCCTTCCTATTTTCCGGGATACTCCCTTGAGTTGCGGGAGACTTGTCCTGGTGCGGGGTGGTTGGGTTTCTGTTGTTCATAAATAGGCCTACGGTAAAGCTGATTGCCAATCTGTACCCTGGTCAGCTGTTTGAGGGGAGGGGAGGGGTGTTGGAAAGTCGGAATACAGTGGTTCATTAATATAACGTAGGATTGTTAAGCGTCTATTACGGTATTTATTATTAGACCCACGGTTGTCTTACCTTGGCCAACTATAAGTGCTCGTGCTTGACCGACTCGGAAACAATGCAACAATGATTTAGCTTTCAAATTGTAGTTTAACAGCGCACACCTGACTCCAAGTTTTGCGAAGCCGAGTAGATTCCATATAAACGCGGGCTCGTTGCTAAGTAACAATGCTACAACATCGCCGATCTTGAAGCCCATCTTTTGCGCAAGCCTAGCCACACGATTTGCCTTCTTATTGACATCTGAGTAGGTATAGTTTTGGTTCTGATACACGATAAACACTTTGTCCGGTGTGTTGCGCGCGTGATCTTCAAACACATCGACTATCGTGCGTGGGATCTTCTGCGACGCAAATTGTTTCAGACGACGGGTTGTCTTCACTTTGTCAGCGATGAATGACACATCAGTCCAGAGCCTAGGATATGCAAGTTGTATGGCTACCACTGACATAATAGCGCAGACAATCGCTATCTCGATGATTAGGTCTAGCATTGTTTGGTAGTTGAAGTCACGAGACGAATGACTCCTAAAATGAAAAAATATTGCGGTTAACCTCTATAAAAGTAACTTATGTTGGGCATCCCCTTAAATTTCCATTGCAAAGTGACAGCAGATATAATTTACCGGACATTTAAGAACTATACACATTTTGGAACTAATAGGTTAATTTGATATTTCAATGTCACGACAATAAACATGAACATTTGGCAAAGTGGCAAAGTTCGACAAATTATTAATCTTTTTCGTCATCTTTTTTGGCTTGATGTATAAAACATTTGCCAAAACATTACTAATTTAATAAATTCCTAAAATTGAAAAAACTTGGATCGTAAAGATTGTATCATAGTATCATAGTACAACTAAAGTTTTCATAAAATTTATACATATTGGCATATATATATATACATATAAACATATACATAAGTTTATATATATACATATATATATACTGTATATACTGTCTCTTATACACATCTAGATGTGTATAAGAGACAGTCGATTACGAAACTCCAA